CAGAAGTAGGAGGTATATTTTGCTAATTAGTATGAAGAGGCTATCCACTACTTAGTCACATACTTATGGGGCTTCTCAGAAGGATGTGTTTTCCCAATCTGTGCAAAGGACAACATAAGTACCCTGCTCCTAGCCTTCTTTCACACTGACCGTTGGCTGCTGACTTGAGCTCTTAGGATGCCCCCCCCTCTCTCTCCCTCTCTCTCTTTTGTTGGTCATGGGGCTTGAACTCTGGGCCTGAATGCTGTCCCTCAGCTCTTCAGCTTAAGGCTAGTGCTCTACCACTTGAGCTACAGTGCCACTTCTGGTTTTCTGGTGGTTTATTGGAGATAAGAGTTTCATGGACTTTCCTGCCTAGTCTGGCTTTGAACCACGATCCTCAGATCTCAGCCTCCTGAGTAGCTAGGATTACAGGTGTGAGCCACCGGCATCTGGCAGGATGCTTTTCTCTTGAAAGAGAGGGCATAAAGTCCCAGCAGGTGCCCAGTTAGCTTCCTTCTGGAGAAAGTGTGATCACAGGCTGCACATATCATTGTCTGATCTGGACTCAGATTGTTTCCACACCACCACCACCCTCTTGCCGCTGCACCATACTACAGCTTGAACTCAGCATCTCACTCTTTCCTAGTTAATTCACTCGTGACTATCATGACTAGTGCTCTACCACTCAAGCCACACCTCTACTTCCAGCTTTTTGCTGGTTAATGGGAGATATGACTCTCTCAGATTTTTCTTTCCTGGTTGGCTTCAAACCTTAATCCTCATATCTATCTCAGGTATGAGCCACTGGTGCTCAGCATTGCCTTAAGATCACTAGATTAAGGAAAGACACCAACCTAGCTCTCTTTGGCCCCTGAAAATAAGTTAAACCAAGTAGGTCCTTTGTCTCAGGAATTGGAACTAAGAACCACGTCTGGTGATGCACACTCATCCTAGCACTCAGGAGGTTAAGGTAGGAGGATCCTAAGTTAAAGGCCAGTCTGGGCTGTATGGGAAAACCTTGTCTCAGGAGAGGAGTAAAAGAAGGAAAAAGAGGGGCTGGGAATGTGGCTTAGTGGTAGAGTGTTTGCCTAGCATGCAGGAAGCCCTGGGTTCAAATCCTCAGTACCACATAAACAGAAAAAGCCAGAAGTGGCACTGTGGCTCAAGTGGTAGAGCACTAGCCTTGAGCAAAGGAAGCTCAGGGACCGTGAGTAGGTCCTGAGTTTCAAGCTCCAGGACTGGTTAAAAAAAAAAAGGAGGAGGAGGAGGAGGAGGAAGAAGACGAGAGAGATGAGACAGAGGGGAGATGCCAGTCACTGATGAGTCTTGATACAGAGTTGGAGGGATAGCCACCTTATTCAGTGAGAACAAGGAGTCTGAAGGTGGGGAGGAAGTGGAACAGTGGCTCATATGTGGGAAAAGCCAAACAAGAGAGGACCTGAGTTCAAGACCCAGTACCAGCACCAGCATGCACGTGCATGCACATGTCGCAAACACACACAAACACACACACACACACACACACACACACACACAGAGGGACCAGGAAAAAGAGCCCATCCTGTCCTGTTGGCCCAGATGTGAGAAGGGAGAGGCTTAGTTCCAGTTCTTGAAGCTCAATCATTTTTAGTTTCTGTCCCTTGTGATTTACTCCCTTTAAGTAGATTTGGTTCCTGCATGTGACCAGAGTCTCTGCCAGAACAAGGACCTTGGCTGAAAGGTTCCTGAGATGCCCCTGGGGCCCTTCTCCCTTTCTTCTCCCCAGCCCTAGCCCAGATGAGGGAAGAGCAGGAGTCCACGGCACAGTCACACCTTTTATTCATTGTCAGTGAGAAAAATAAACCACACCACACAGCACAGGGTTGAACAGTGAGGACAGTCACTGTGGGCACAGCCAGAAGCAGCATGTCTGGAGGGGATGGGAGGCTACACTGGGGAACTCATGGTGAATAGATACCTCCTCTGCCATCCAGCCCTTCTCCCTCCCCAAGCTGCTTAGAAGGCCCTGGGGCTGGCCAGCCTCCACCAAGCAGAAATGAATCCCAGGAGTCCCCACCTTGCCTCCACAGTCTTGGCAAAGATAAAAAGAAAACAACATTTCAGAAAGAAAAGTCTCATATTTTTCTGAGGCTTTTAAATTGACACTGTGAATTATTTCTTTCTTTAAGAACAATGAATAAAATATGTAAGAAATGAATTCTTGTTCCCCTACAGGGAACTCTAAAGTCAACACAAAGCCTCACCCAGGGTGGATCTTCAGGAAATAGTTGTTGCTTTAATAACTTTTTGTGTAAAAATATTTACAGTGTCAGATTGCTCTCCTGCCTAGGAAGACCAGCTTCTTCCCTTCTGATCTCTCTCATTTTTCCCTCCCATCCCACCTCTACCTTCTCTCTCTACAGCAGGATGAATTTCCACCTCTAGGGACTCTGTCATAATTGCCAGGGGAAAAAAAGGACTTGATCCCTTTGCTTATGAATTTACTTCTTCTTAATTTTTGATTTAAAGGTAAGTTAAATAAGCTCTACTATAGCTCTGAGGACTGGAATAGCTCTTGAAGTAGCCTATGCTGATTATTTTTAGAAATAAGAAATAAGAGGCTTCTTAGCCCAAAAGGATGAATGAGGTAAGAATATGTCAGAAGGTAGAGTCTAGAGCCTTACAAACCAGAGATGCTATAAGAAGATACTGGATTTCAAAAAGATGTCAATGATTCAACTGTCTGTATATTTGTGTGTGTGTGTGTGTGTGTGGTGTAAGTCATGCATAAATCTGTACTAACTTAGTGTTTTTAAGTCTGGGGCAGGGTAGGAGGCATGTCTTTCTTCTCCAGGTGAAGCCAGTGCTCTACCAAATGGACTCCTAAGCCGATAGTCCTTGGGACACCCAGGAGAATGTGGGAGCAAAACTGGTGGCTCTTTTCATCAGGAAAAATGAAGCCCCGGTTCCTGGTCTGGCAATATGTGTTTGCTCTGCTGGGCTGAGCATGGCATGAGACCCTTTGCCTGACCAGCAAATCTCACCCCTGGATATATCCAAAAACTGGAGTGGTCAGACATGCTTTCCTAGACAGGGTTTACTTGCTGGCTTGTAAAGATCTAGTTCTCTTAGGAAAAAAAAATGGTGGTAAAGACAGTGAAAGATCCTTCTGGGTTCTCAATCAGATCCAGGGTACTGCTCCCAGGAGAGCATTGACCCATTAGCAGAACTGTCTAGAAGCAGAAAACAGGATGCTTGAAAATGTAAGGACTTTACCTAAGCTCCTCCTCCTGTATGGAAGACCATAGCCTCATGAACTTCTCAGCAGGATATTTCAAAAGGCAAAAGCCAACTTGGCTTGTCCCACAGTCAACCTCAGCACAAATCAAACACAAAATGAGCAGAGCAAAGAAGGATTTCCCTTCTCTTATTCTCTTAAAGAGCCTTGGGTTCAAGTCTTGGCATTGTCCCACCTCCTGGCTGTGTACTCTTGCACAAGGGATTCCATCTCTCTGAACCTCAGGATCCAAGTCAAGAGAAGAGGCATGAAAACTCCATCTCCCAGAGCTGTGAAGACAGACTAAGATGGAATAGATGGCAAGCCATTGAAAGCCAAGGAATTCTGTGTGATTGTGCATTAGGCAAGATTCAATCTTTATGGGAAAGGAGCCCCACTTGGTGAAAAGCCTTCCATCAGAAGGTCCAGGTCCCAGCTGAGCCAGGATGTGGAACACTTATGGATGCTAACTGTGGTGCTGTCTGATAGCACATGACATGCCTTGCCTAAGAGCAATGGAACATTCTACAAAGCATTACTGGATAAATGCCTGCTGGTTACTGCCTGAGAATGTGAACTCTCCAGCCTCACTGTGTGTCTTGGTCATAGGCAGGACAGGCCACAAGAAAGATGGTCCAATAGAGCTTGGGACCAGAGGTTAGCCTCTCCAAGAGTTCTCATCTGCGGAGAGGTAGGACAGGTGAGCATTTAAGCACTAAGTGGCAAACAGCATCTCTCTTCTGCAGATGCCATTCCCACTGCTTTGCAATCATTCCCTTACTCTTACCCTGGGCCGACAGCACCTAGATACAAGACTGTGTGCACTTGCACTTGCAAAGGAAGTCAACTGTCACTGTACATCAAAGCTATTTTTTAAATCACAAGTACAGAAGAAAAAGGAAAATGAATGACTTAAAGAAGCAAGATCCCGCCCCTCCCCGACCACCCCCTCCCCCCCAGCAGTCAGAGCATGCAGCTGTATAGCTCACAGATCCCATATCAAAAAGCAATGCTTAGAGAGTAATATATAGGATTGCAGGGGGCTTTAACAAAAGCCTTTTAAATGGAACATGCCCAGTACATTCTTAGGGATTTGGTCCAACAAATGCAGCCTGAAAGCCTAAACAGTGGTCCTGGCCTGGTGATCCTTTTCTTCTAGCTCCTTCTGCATCTGAAGCAGTGAAAGAACAAGTCTATCCCTGAAACTAAACAATGCACAGAAACAAATCACCAAGCCCACCAAAATGGGCTTGTCTCACTCTTGGCAAACCTGTTGTTTCTGCCTCTGAAGTTTGTTATCTGACCTGAGTAAGTGCAATATAGAGAGTTGCTTGCTGAATTGAAGAAGATAATAAACAACAGAAGCAGCAAAAACTGCTAATGATGACAGCTCAGGACTTAGCCTGACAAGAAAAAAGGAGATATCTGTTAAGCCTGGTGAGATTTTTTTCCCCTTTGGATCCCAGCTCCCCCCCCCCCCCATAATAAGCATTTAATCCTTTTTTAAAAAAAATAAGAAACCAAGTGATAAAGAGAAAATTTTAATCTAATAAAATGACTTTAGCTCTTTTAGAGGGTGCTAAAAAAATAAGTATTACATAAAATTGCTTTCCCTCCCCCCCTAAAACTTCCACTCACATAACACCTAAACTTCCAAGTGCATTTCATTTCATTTTCCTTCAGCTGGACAAAGAAACAGCTCCCTGAACGAGCCAGCCTGACAACACCCTCTCTTCAGCTGTGCTAACAGCCCTGTTGAGACCCACTGGAAGTTGTCCTATTACGTCCATGAACTTCCACCAGGCACAGTATGTAGCTTGTAAAACGACCATATTCTTACCACCTTGAAGGTGCCTGGCATCAAACAAGTGTTCAAAAATCCTTAGCTGAAGAAAGGAATGAATAATTGCTCCAAAGGCTGGGTCCAGAGAGGCCAGGTAGAGTGGAAGGGGCAGGGCACAGACCACCTAAAAGAGATCGGAGTCCTTAGGAGAGGACAGACCGGATTTGGTTCTTTGACTGGAACCTATCGAACCACAGAAGCATGATCAAGAGCATTTCAAACCTAGACTCTAGCCCTCTCCTCCTTAACCCTACTTCTTGGGGCGAAAGCCAACTCCCCTATATCCAACAGGTGTTGGTTTGGAGGTCAAGATTGAGGGGTAGGGCGAGATGACAGGCTAGCTGATGACCTGTCTCTTTTGTGGGTTGAGGTGGTCCCTCATGGAACTTGACTGTAGGGAGTAAGGCAGAGAAGGGGATGGGCTAGAGAATGAGGCTGGAGTGCCCCTCCTTCTGGGGAAAGGCCAACCAGAGAGGGCATCAGGTTGGGAAGTGACCATGCCCCTCCTGGCCAGGGGCCCTGCCCCTCACCAGCTTCTACTTCTGCATGTCACATTGCAGCAGCAATACAATGGATGGGTCACTTTTGGCTGCCTCCTTGAATTCCTCCAGGGTAATCTGGTCATCCTTGTCCTGATCCATCTTCTTAAAGATCTTGTCCACACGCTGCTGGGGTGTGAGCCCATCCTGGTTCATGCGCATCATGATCACGGTACCCACCATCTTGTAGATAGCCTGGTGGGGCAAGGAAGTGGGGTGTGAGCAGAAGGCAGTGGATAAAAAGATCTGGGGTGGGAGGAATACCAGGAGGTGGTGAGGATACTGGAAGGTGATATATGGTAATTAAGACTGACTATTTAATGAGTGCATTGAATTAATCATGTCTCAAGCCCAAGTCTTCACTCATTGCCTTCTCTTCCTCTGGCATTCCCTCTCAATAAGCAACAACTTCATTCTGCTATTGTTCTGACTGAAACCTCATGTCATTTGCGGGGAGGGGTTATCTCACTATGTATACAGTCCAGGCTAGCTTAGAATGCCCCATCCTCTGGTCTCAACCTCCCAAGTGCTGAGATTACAGACAGGTACCACCATGGCCTATTCTCTTGCCATTCTTGTCTCCTCCACCATCTTACCGTCCACTTATCAGCTTTAATTTTGCAGTAGACCCCATAGCCACCTGCTTCCTACCACTTCAATAGCTTATTCACTATCGCAGCCTCTACCAGCTTTGACCTGCACTGTGAAGTAAGTTTCCTCACTGGTCCTCCTGCATCTGCAGTGCTCCCTGCCTGCCATCATCTATTCATACCCAGATAAGCTCAAAGCCTCCTCCCCAGGCTGAGATGCTGAGTGAGGGGGCTCCTGGCTCCCTACCAAACCAGGTTGGGGAACTCTCTTCTATTCCCCTTGCCTTAGGGCCCTCCTTGAACCCTGCAAACTCAATCTCCAGGCATTTATGCCTCCTCTAATCGCATCTAGGGTTAGCTCCCTCACCTTATTAAAGCTGATCCTCATTTCCACCTTATATAAAATTATTTTTCCCCCATCACTCACTCTCCCCTCCCCTCATTTATTTTTTCTATTGCCTGCCAAGGCATGGGATTATTTCCTCCTCAGAAAGAATGATGAAAGCAGGAACTTTAAACAATGTCCTACACATCAAAGTCAACACTTGCCTTTTCTTTTCCTTTCATCCCTTTCTTACTCTCTCTCTCTCCCCTCTGTGTGTGTGTGTGTGTGTGTGTGTGTGTGTGTGTTCCAGTACTGAGGCTTGAACTCAGGGCCTGGGCACTATCCCTTAGCTTTTTCTCAAGGCTGTCCCTCTACCACTTGAGCCACACCTCTATTTCTAGCTTTTTGCTGGTTAGAGATAACCCTCACAGACTTTTCTGCCTTGGCTGTTTTTGAACTCTGATCCTTTATATCTCAGCCTCCTAAGTAGGTAGGATTACAGGCATGAGCCACTGGTGTCTGGCCAATACTTACTTCTAGAGTTTCCTGAACTGGTACACTTGGGCTCTGGAATCAGCTCCCTCGATTTAAATCAATCTCTACTTCTTATCCTTTCCTCATCTGAGAAATAGGGTTTTTGACAGTGTCTACCCCAGAGGAAAAACACTGAGCAGTGGGCCTGCATTTGGATCCTAGGAGCTGGTGTATGGGGAAGAGCTCAGGAGCAGCCAGGAGGCTCCCAGAATCCCAGGGGACAGGGGCAGCCACCATGCCCTGGCAGGCCCCCATTCCTACCGCACCTCAATGATCTCCAGCATCTCCAGGCGCGTGATGCGCCCATCCCCATCCAGGTCGTACATCTCAAAAGCCCAGTTAAGCTTCTGCTCGAAGCTGCCCCGGGAGGTGACAGACAGGGCACAGATGAACTCCCGGAAGTCGATGGTGCCATCTCCATTCTTGTCGAAGGTGCGGAAGGCGTGCTGGGCAAACTTGGAGGCATCGCCGTAGGGGAAGAACTGAGGCAAGCATGGGCAGTTGGGGTGAAGCTGCAACCTCACCACCCCCCTCATCCTCCTGCAGTGCCTCCGCCTCCCTGTCCCATGGTGGCACCTGGATACCCCAGGACCCTGCTGCGCACCTTGATGTACAGCTGCTGGAACTCCTCGAGGTTGAGGATGCCGCTGGGGCAGTCCTTCAGGAAGCCCTTATACCACTGCTTCAGCTCCTGCTCGCTGAACTCCGTGTTCTGAACCAGGTCCTCCAGCACCTCAGGGGCCAGCTTGCTATTGGTCTTCCCCATTGCAGGGCCTGGAGACAGGGAGCTCCCTCAACAAGGCCCAGAGCAAATTCCTGTCTCAATAGTGGTTCCCCAAGTCCCCCTCTTCCCCTTCCTCCACCTCTCCTAGTGAGCTGATGCTCACATCACCAGAATCCTCCTTCCAGATCTCCTCTTCTGGGTTCCCATCCAGACAAGACTCTCCACTGGTAAGCAGGGCACTTCTTCCCTCACCCACTTCCTTCCACAGAAATCAACCTTGCCTCTCCCCATACATAAGACAGTCCATCCCTTCTCAAGACACTCCCCCAAAACAGGGCCTCTCCTCACAACATCCTGCTGCCCAGAACAGACCCCCCTCCTCACAGGAGATGATGTCCAGCACCCTCTTGGTGACTAGTGCTGCAGCATACCCCTTCATCCTCTTCTCTCTTCTTCTTTCCTCAGGTCCTACAATTCTACACTCAGCCCCCTTCTTCCTGGCTAGGCTCTACTCATACCAGGAACCTGAGGCAGATGGTTCCTCAGGCATTCCTAAGGTACTGTCTCTCAAGTTCTCTCAAGGCTTTCCAGGGCTGCTCCAGCAGGAAGCTCTCCTTTATCTAAGTAGAAATCTTAACCTGGAACACTGATGACCCTGATTACATTCTGCTTTTCATTAACTCATTAACTCCCTGAGCATCTATTGAGGTCCATTATAAGTGCGTTTGCTAGGGGTGAAGATAAAGCTAATACAAGCCAACCTTCAATAACTCATCTTTGGTCCCAGGCAGAGGACTGACTACAAAGGGCCTTCCACCCAGGCCAAGGAGATCGGACTTCACCCATAGGAACAGAACCTCCAGGTTCTGTTCAAAGCAAGGGCTTTGATGCTAGAGTTCATTCCTCAACACTTACAAAGTGCTTACAGGATCTGGGTGCTGGGATTATTTCTTTGGTTACTTGGAAAGGAGGAAGTGGGTAAAATAGGGAGGGGGCGCTAAATGTTTCAGTTGCCAGATGATCCTGTTCGGACTGGGTTGTGGATGGACTAGACATTAGGAGAGGGCACTGGCAGAACTTGATGACTAGATCTAGGGGTAAGAGTGTCATAGGAGTCCAGATAGATGTCCTGATTTGGGCCTGAGTGGATGGAGGTGGTGTTATTGAAAAGGAGGCTTGGGAGAAGATCACCATTACTGGAATGGGAGCCCACCAAGTGGCCTTTGCCAGAAGAAACATTTGCTGAAGGTGGTACTGGCTAGAAAGACAAGAGGCTGGATGGACACTCTTACTTGCCCCCACAGAGTTTGATTTTCCAGGACACCTGGGAGGTGTCTTTGACTGACCCTAGGCCAGTGGTGGCCACTAATCTTTATTACTGGCAACACCCTAAACCACGTGATTTGGGGTTGCTTGTTTCCATGTGCCTTAAGCTAAGTACAGGATATTGTATATCCCTGAGTCTTTCGTTCCTCCACAGGGCCTTGAGGAAGATCATGGAACTGTGCACTCAGACAATCAGGAATTTGATCCTCTTGCAAGAAGCCAGGGAGAGAGAAATACACCACCTTCAAGAGGCAGGGGAAGAGGCAGGAGATAGGGTGTATCCCAGCTAGCCCCTCCCCAAGCCCAAGATTCTGTATCTGCCAGGAAGCTGCAGAAGCTGGAGGCAGGGGTGGCTGATGGGGGAAGGCAGAGCCTCTCCTGCAGTGTCTTTGTGGGATGTGCCTGCGTGTCTGCATGAAGGGCTGGGTCTGTGTGTGGGAGGGTGTCAGTGTGTGAGGCTGCAAATCTGTCAGCGTGCACACGTCTGTGTGTGTCGTGGTGTCTGTGTGGCCCTCTCTTTTTAACCCCCCTTCCCCCCCCTTCTCCTCCCTGCCCTACTCTGTCTTCCTTACACTTTGTTTCCTGGGGCCTTAACCTGTTACCAGTCCCTATTTGGTCCCAGCCCCCTCCACTTTCTCCTTATCTCCATTATTGCTCTTAGTAACAAGGTCAAAGTCAGCAGTGCCCTTGGAGCATATTCTCTTACTTTAGTGAAAACTGAAGTGGAAAGAAAGGAGAACAGTGGCTTGGAGGTACCCAGAAGGTCAGTAGAGGGGTCCTGATAATCACCAGGCTGAATCTCTGCCACCTGCCTAGACAATCCTCTCCACATCATGGCTACATTTTTTTAACTGTTATGTTCAGCCCTGATGGCTGGTGATTGATTTATTTTGGTGTCGGTCCTGAGGCTTGAACTCAGGGTCAGGGTGCTGTCCCTGGGCTTTTGTGTTCAAAGCTAGCACTTTACCACTTGAGCCACAGCTCCACCCATGGCTACTCTTGCTTAGAAAAGTCTCTCTCCACCCACACCTGCCTGCTGGGAAAAAAATAACTCTGATCTTCCTTTGGCCTTTGTGGGACCATTTTACTTGAGCACCAAGCCAAGGTCTCTGATGCGTGAGCCCAGTGGTACCTCTGAATAAGCATGTGAGCAGCTAGGCTCACCCTCAACCTGGGACAATTTGCTTCCAACACCCCTTCATCTTCTCCCTCATCCCAGGAGCTGGACATATACATGTTCCTTTCCCTTTTCACTGTCCAAGTCCAACTTGCCATTGAATCCTGTAGTTTCTGTTGACAAGTTCCTAGAACCTACACTATTTTTGTGGCCAAGGCACAGCTAAAGGGCCTGAAATCAAGGCAGGCCCAGGCCTATGGGGCTCATCTCCTTCACAGGAAGTGCCTTTCTTCTGATTCCTCTATTCCAAGGTGATTTATCCCTGACCCTATTCCTGTAAACTACAGTGTTGGGTAGAGATGGTCATAATTGTCGGCCCCCTGAAACTCCAGAATATTCTAGAATCTGATCTGCAGGTGCTCTCTGTCTAGTCTAGTCTAACTTCCCACTGCTCTCCTCATGGATACCTATTCCTCCTCTCAAGTCAGTCTTCTCACAGTCAGAATGCACCGCACCTATATGCTCAGCTAGTTTCCTTTCCTGCCCATCCCTTCTCTTCTGGTTGCTTATAAGCAGTCTGATTAGTTAGCCAAGCAGCACAGCTCAAAACTTTGGGCACAGTTAAACCACATGGAACTCCCAAAATACATAGTTCTCTGACCCTCACTTGTTGTTCTAGGATTCCAGCAGAGGCCTTTTCATTCAACCTCTGCCAGAGCCAGGGGTTTTCTAACTCTTTTTGCTCAATGGCAAAAGGAGCTTTCTTCTCCTAACAAAGTCCAGACTGCTTTCAAACATGTGGATAGTGAGAAAAGTGCTTGTGCCATTGTTTCTGAGTCTGCCCACTGGTTCCTTCCCTCCTTGGTGCCAGCACAGGAGCATCCTGCGGAAAGCCACAGTCAGAGCCTAGAACTCGGCCATGTTCAGTGAATGTCTCAAAGATTCCGTGTGAGGGAGCAGTGCCCCCCCCCCACGCACACACACTCTGCTTTGTTTATCTGTGCTCCCTTTCTATCACAACCACTTCACAGACAATGGAATCAAGAGCCAGGGAAAGAAAGAGTTCACCCAAGGTCAACTAGAGTCCAGCAGCAACAAAAGGAAGGCCAGAATGTAGCTGGGGGCATGTGTTGTTGAAGTAGTAGCCTCTGGAGGGCTGTCCTCCAGCTGAGAAGGAGCTGACATTATACCATGCACAAAACCTCTGCTCTCTCTGCTCAAGGGGGTTTTCTAGAAGGTGCAAGGCTGTGGGCTTTGAGTGGAGAGGTAGCAGTGAGGGTGGGAGGGACTGAAAAAGGCAATAATCCCACACTCTCGCCCAGCTTCAGAGGAACTGGTGCTGAGGCAGTTGCCATGGTGACAATAGCTCCCTGGTCAAGAGATTTTCTTTTTCCTCTCCTCCCTTTGCTCTTCTCCAAGCAGCAGAAATAACCACCAGATCTTCTCCCCATCTTTAATGAGAGCAGGGTGACAAAAGGTGAGCCCTGTTGACCACCTCTAACTTGGAGCATCCATACCAGGGTGGGTTGGTGGTCTAGGAGCGATGCCTAAGAACAGGAGCCTGAAGGAGAGGTGGCCTGTATCAAGGCCTGGATAAGAAGCAATGTTTCTTCACTGTGGGTTGAAACTCCCCTGGAGCCCCACTCTGAAATGTCCTAAAAGTTCAGAGCTCTGTCTTCCAATAAGCATTCAACCAGAGAGTGTGTATCGGAAGGCTGTTCATGACCATTTCATCCAATTCTATACCATCCTGTCCAGCTCTCTTCCCCATTCACGAGGAACCAGAGAAGGAAAAGATGTGGCCAAAGCCAAATAGCCTCAGAGACAAAGATAAGATTTTCACCCACTTCTGTTTCCAGGCTTAGGCCACTTTAGAGAAAAGAACTATACTGTCCACATGGAGCTTTAGTACAATTCAGGGAGGAACAGCAGGAAGATGGAAGAGAGGGAGCAACTAGGCACAAGAAGGTCAGAACAGTAAGGGTTGAAAGAGGTGGATGTGGTGCTTTAGCAGTAAGAAGTGAAAGGGGAGGAAGTAGGTGTGGAGGCTGGAACCTTGATAGCCACTAACAGGGTACATAGGTGGTCTGCTGGCTAAGTTCCTGCTTTATCCTCTAGTCAGTACAAAAAGAGACCAAATATGGGGTTCTGCCTAGCTGTGACTTGAAATCTTTCAGTGGGAGGGGGGGCTGTCATCCATCCCTCAGGTATGCTCTGAGTGTCAACTTGAGGTGTGGGAAGTGGAGACAATGAAGTAGGGCTGTCTTTAGAGGCCAAGGTCCCCTGTCCTGCCAACTGCTGGGGTGGGTGTGGGTTCTCTGGGTGGGAGGATGCCTTGGGGCTGGGCAGACTACCCATCTCCAAAGGCAACAGGAGGGAGGGGGACTGATGTCTCCTCTAGCTCCAGCGGGCACTGTACCCTGGGGGGCGGGGGGAGAGCGTTGGTTGTTCTTACCTGTGTTGAGGCTAAGAAGGAGATTGTACCTTCTTCCCTGGACTTGGGGACCCTACCTGAAGTGGATGAAAACCCTGGCCAGGGACGGGGCCTCCAGATCCTGCTGTCTACGACAGACCCAGAGTGGGGGGGAATGATGGAGCAAGGGCTAGGAGCTAAGGA